TCCCCTCAAAAAGGAAAAAAAAAAAAAAAAAAAAAAAAAAAAAAAAAAAAAAAAAAAAAAAAAAAAACTACCTCTTCAGAGCGCTCTCCGTGAATGACATTTATGGCAGCCTCTTTTCGAACAGCAAAGGATGTGCTAGCTTTGGTGAAAAGGGAGATGGTGATGGTAGTCCCTCTCCTCACTCGGCTGCAAACGGTGCCAAGTGCATTCCAAGCCTATTGAGTAGGACGAAAAGTTTGGTTTTTCGGAGGGGAAGAAGTGACTGCGATGGGGGGACAACACTCACTGAGGGAGTTGCCATTCCTAATGGAGGCAGAAGCATGATCACCAAAATGACACATCATGTTGACACACTAGATGAAGAAGGAAGCTTATTTAAAAAAAAGAAAATTACAAGTGGTTCCTCCCGATCATCACTACTACTTCCTAAGAGGGACGTAGCGGTGCGGACAGGCAGAGTAAATATTTTCAGAAGGGCCAAAAGTTGTTCCATACTTAAGGGCAATGTCTTGGAACGCGATTGTGCGTTTGACGTGGAGGGGAAAAAGTGGGTCGGCAAATCGGGCGGCACAGCTACCATGGCGAGAGCCAGAACGCCAGTGGGACAGTCCACCAAGCCCAGTACAGCTCTGAAGCGCAGTGCACTGACCTGCCGAAAGACCCTCGGGGAAAGCCACGCCATTCATAAGAGCCTCGTGAAAGGTGTGCAGACCCAGACGAGTGGCTGCTTGTGGAGGCCCTGTTTTTTGTTTGAGAGCGGCGTGAAAGAGTGACATTGCTGGATGCGTGCGAATGGGCTAAACGGACAAGCGCTTAACTCGAACACGCGCTTCAGTCGGGCAAGTGGGCTACCTGGTTGGGGACTCTTTGTCCTGCAGCCTTGCACACACACACACGGGCTTGTTCCCCGTCTGATCTAACTCAACATGAGCCTCTGCGAAACCTAAAATGGCTGCGCCTCGGGGGCTGCTGCGCAAAGTTCGGCTTTAGATGCATCTCACTTTGAGGTGTTCCAACCGCAGACCGCTCGATATTTTTTCGCTTTCCAAATTTGTGCCCCACTTGTGATTTTTTTTTTTTTTTTTTTTTTTTTTTTCCATGAGGGGTCCCTGCCAATCGTTGCCAGAAAAAAAAAAAAAAAAAAAAATGGAAAATAAATGAAGCGCATGAACAGATAAGTGTCCTTTTTTCACGTCATGTCAATGTAGGGACTTTAAAAAAAGAGAAAGTCATCATCCTCCTGCCCCTATGTGGATGCGTGCAACGGGGTGATATAAAAACATATAACTAATTTGAATGCACTTTTTTTTTTTACCCCGTTATGTAATGCTTATGGACCCATTTGAAGGTGACGTTTTTATGCGTAGGGGTTGTCGTAGTGTGCCTTGTGTACTAGTGGGCACATATGGGCATAGCGATCACGGCGACAGTTGCAATCGTGACGAGCGAAAGGGAGAGCCGCTCAGTGTGGTAACAATTTTTCCCCAACACCTGGACTTTGAAATGATTCCTTTTCGCCACTCGTGTTTATTTATATTATTCTATTTTATTTGTTTATTATTTTTTTGTTTCTTTTTTGCATCGTTTAAGCAAATTGTTTTGTTGGCGGGGAGGGTCTGATGAGAGTGTTCGTCTAGTGGCGTCGCTTTTCCCCAGTTGGAGATTTTTCTTTTTAACAATTGTGCATAAATTTTTTTGCGTCACCACAGTAGCAGTGCGATTTATGTACACTGCAATGTTCATAGTTGGGACGAGCCACACCAAGGTTCACGCTTCTATACATAAAAGGGGGTGACAGGAAAAAAAAAAAAAAAAAAAAAAAAAACTCATCGTCCACTCGGTCGACCGGTGCACCATTAGGAGAAACAACAACTAAAATTTGTGTCCTAAGTGATTGTCCGTTTAAAGCAATGGTATGATGCATAGTTGGGGAGACGCTCCCCTCAAAAAAGAAAAAAAAAAAAAAAAAA